GAACAAATTTATGGTCCACGTGATATTAGCCAAGAAAGCTATGAGGACTCGTATTCAGAAAATAACTGCAGTGACACAACGAACCCAATTATACCGAATGTTACTCAAAATCATTGTGAGACAGAAACTTATATTGAATCAGCTTATCCGATTTCTAATGACAATGTATCAGACATGGGTTCTCAGAACAATGCATGTTATTTTGATGAAATTTCTCATAAAAATCAGGAAAATATATCAGCTGAGTCAAATTATGGTCAAAAGTCTAATTTAATTTTGTTAGATGATGATTTCCGTAATGATCCATTATCCACTGATGAAATTCCTAATGGATTTGAAAGTAATGCTTCAGAAGAATTAAACTTTGACCTCAAATCAAAGGTCGTTCATTATCATCTAGTCGTTTCTAGTGGATCCGACATTCAATGCGAGAAACGTCGTTTAAATAAAGTCCTATTATTTGTAACTTGGAGATATAAGGATCCGACATTGTTTCGCGGAGGAGGAGAATGTTGGAGAATTAAAAGTTATGCATACTTTTTTTTAAGAAAAATCAAAACGCCGGGAACAGACATGTCAGTCTCTGTGCAAGGAAAAAGTGATAATTCTTCATTGCCTAGACGATGGACTAATCGAAAGCACAAGCCAGTCACTCAGTTGCAGTTGGACCCTAGCACCAGATCCTACGAATCTGCTCAGAGGGGAGGTGTTAAGGGGACATAGACTAGATTAAAGCATGCCCAATGCATGATTGTTTAGGTGCACGCTGATTGGCTGATTCTTATCCAATCAGCACCAGTCGATAGTCGGAGAATATTCTGGAATCTTCTTATGTAAAAACTATAAATATACTGACGTTTTTCCCTATTGTGCTTCTGATTTGCTATTTGGAATATAATCTTTTTCCTGTTCAACCGTGTTTTGATTTGGGGACTTGTCGAGTGAATCGGTGTCCGAGAATACTAAGCAATAGGAATAGCTGGGTCATTAACCGTAAGAAACAGAGTTATAACAGTACAGGATTGGAATCCTGCCAGTCTTGTAGAAGTACTTTGCACTTCGAAGGTGCAAAGCACATACCATACCTACGGACACTGATTGCCAACTGATTAAGTGCGGATTGCATGCCTTGGGCATTATCGCACAGTAAGACAATATCGTCCGCATACTCAAGGTCGAGAAGTCTTTCTCCAGGCAACAGATCCACACCACTATTACTTACATTCATCAGAGCTGTTTCCAGAATGTCATCGATGGCAAAGTTGAAGAGGAATGATGAGATTGGGCAACCCTGCCTAACCCCACTGCTCGAATGGAACAATGGAGAGAGGTGGTTGTATGCCCTCACTCTGCCTGAGGTGTTTTTATATAGGGCTTTTAGGATGTTAATAAACTTCTCAGGCACACCCTTCTTCAATAGACAATCCCAGAGAACAGTTCTGTCCAACGAATCGAAGGCAGCCCTAATGTCAAGAAACACTACGATTGTTGGCCTTTGATAAGTATGATAGTGTTCTAACATTTGGCGGAGGGTGAAGATATGATCAATACATCCTCGACCAGAACGAAACCCAGCCTGCTCCTCGCGAGTCAATCTTTCTCGGGTTTTGAACAACCTATGAAGTATGACGGAAGCCAATAGCTTGGACGCAATCGGAAGTAGACTTATCCCCCGATAGTTGTTACAGGAACGACGTGAACCCTTTTTAAAGATAGGGACAACTATCGACTCATTCCATGACGTTGGCACACTCTCTAGTTCCTAAACCTTTGTAAACAACGTCGTCAATTCCTTAGTCAAAAAGTCACCACCATCTTTAAAAAGAGCCGGAGGTAAGTCATCTGGGCCAGGTGATTTGTAACGCTTCAAGAGTTGGAGTTCCCTGCGGACTTCCTCCTCGTTTGGTAGATCAGTCGTCACCGGCCATGGAGGGCAGGACAGTCTGACCGATGTTGCCGGAGCAGCAGGCCAGTTGAACTGCCCTTCGAAAAATTCTGCCCACCGTCCAAGACGTCGATGGATGTTAGTGATTGGCATCCCATCATCCTCGCAGATTGTTTCACTCACACCAGACTTCTTGCTGCCAGTGGCTCGGATGAGTTGGAAGAGCTTCCGGTAATTACCAGATGCAGCTGCTGCTTCCAGCTCATTAGCACGCTTCGACCACCAGGCTTCTCGGTCCTTACGCAAGCTTTGCCCAATTTGCTTACGTAACATCCTTCGTTTTTGGTCAAACTCACGGTCACCCGGAGTAGACCGACGGGCTTCAATGAGTTGTAAGGAACCAGAAGAAACCCAGTGCTTAAAAGCGGGACGTTTCGCGAACCCACAACTGACTGTTCCCGCCATTTTCATGGCGTCATGCAATTGCAACCAATGCTCATCTATACTTTTCGGTGGAGTGGTAGCTAGCCTAGAGGCTAGCTCGGTTCGATACTTACTAGCAACAGAAGTTGCAACCAGCTTGCTAATATCAATCCGTTGATGGCTGTCACTTCGTTGTCCACTGAAAAGTAAGGGAAGATTGGCGCAGACCAAGGCATGGTCAGAGTCCAGATAGATACTCCAAAAGGAGCGGCAGTCTTGTACACAACCACGCCAGCGGTAGCTGATTGCGATGTGATCAATCTGAGTCCAGGCTTGAGATGCAGAGGGAGGACGCCAGGTGGCACATCGGCGATGACTGTGCCGAAAGTTAGTGCTAGCCAGAAACAGGTTGTGGTCTGTGCACAGTTGCAGTAGACGGTCCCCGTTATCTGACCTGCGACCAACGAGTCCCCATCGGCCACCTAAACGACTCTCTTCTGTGCCTAGACGCCCGACCTGAGCATTCAAGTCTCCGGCTAGTACTACAATATCTGTCGAACGCACTTTCTGGAGAAGAACAGATAACTGGTGGTAAAACTCATCCTTGATTGCATCCGGGCTGCAATCTGTCGGGGCATAGGCGGAGATGACGAAAAGACATCGTTTCTCACGCCGGTTTCTTCTCACTTTGGTGGAACTTTCTAATCTAACAGCACATAACCGACTGTTAATGGGGATCCAATCGACTAGTGCTACCTCAGCTCTAGCGCTTAGTGCGACACCAACGCCTGCAAGACCAGACGAAGATGCCACAGGGTCCCCGGATAAGCGCACGTAAAACAAGCTTTTCGAAGTGACAGATGGAGAGCGAATTTGTAGTACTTCGCTAGAGTCTTGAATACGGGTCTCGGATAGACAACAAACATCAATATCAAGACTTTCCAAAGACATAGCCAGCCCTATCTGTTGACCAACCTGCATAAGTGTGCGAACGTTAAAGGCAGCCAGTTTGAATGGCGCACGTGGTTTCAGAAATACTGCTTCAGTACTCATATTGGATGGTAACATACAACTTTCAACCGGACAGTGACTCGAGAACGTTTAGATACAGTCGGATTTCCACCAAAGACGAGCCGCTGTATAAGTATAAAAGAGGGTGAATAATGTGGGAAATAATAATAATAATAATAATAATAATAATAATAATAATAATAATAATAACGACAATAATAGTAATAATAATAGTATTAATAATGACAATAATAGTAATGATAATTATTTGAATCGACTGATTGTTTTTCGGAGCAATAAAAGTAGTTGCCAAAGACATAGAGTTCATCGTTTGTGTGTGGGCTGTGATACTGCCCGGGTGCCCAAACCGAAGCAGGTGGTTTTCTTAGGGGGCCACTCCCCGAGCCTTTAACCTAAAGGTCTAACCCACAAGGCAGTGGAGCATCGTAAGGAGATGCAATCCCATGGTAGCCGGTGACCAAAGATTGGTTCATACGCCATTTGTTCCCGCAGGATACTGGAGCCCATGTGCACCATTGGTTTGGAATCCGGTTAAAGCGCCGGACATTCGCTTTTCGTCCTCTCATTTTCGTAAACAACCCCCCCGCCACGAGAAGGCAATGAGTAGGACTTCCCTGGCAGAGGCTGTATACGCGCGGCCGTGTGAGAGTATTTCGAGAGGGAGAGCGGACTCACCCCACTCTCGGCCGTACCAGGGCATTCGGGGGCATGTGTGTTCTTCATAATTATATTGTGAATGTTGTGTATTAAACCGTGTAAACAACCGTTTTTAGTATGAGTTCTGAAATATTTTATCATTAGCATTTAAGAGATGCTGTTTGTTCAAGAACAGAAAATTAATTGTTAACGGCGATACGTCAAACGGTTTGTAAAGATCCCTCCATTATTTTTAATACGACGAATCAACACTAAAAGGTATTATAATCTTGGTAACTGAGCCTCAGTTTGTGTGTTAGGCTTCGATACTTGCTTAAACTGAGACCTAGGAATACTATATGACACCAACACAAAAGTATGTAAAGCAGTGTCTGAACTTGCCATCACCACTTGAAAATTACTTCTTTAGGCCATTGGTCAATGGCTTAGTGGTTAAGACAAATGCATTACAACCACTAACCAGTAGGTCTGAATCCTGTATCATTTAATTTGTTTTCAAATTACAATCAGTATCCTTAGTTCTGTTAGTTTTATAAGTACGCTTGAAAGCCTATTACAGAATTTGTTACTGAGTTATGTTGAGATTTAAATACTTAACATAAAGAAAACATAATGAGGATTCACTTATTCCGGAAAGTATTCCGTTCATTAAGTAATACTAGTTCCCCATTATATACAAAAACCACTTGTGTATTTCACTTCCTATGTACAAACAAATTCCTTTTGTCATTAAACCAACGATGAACAGACTTGCTATCAGGTGTTATTTAAACAAACGTTTCGACTGCGGTGTAGGTGAAACGAGAGATTGGTTTGCAATATCAACTAGTTCAAATTTAAATCGACCTTTCTTTTTTCTTACCATTGCAAAACTGACTCATGAAATTCTTAAATAATGTTATTAAGACACTAGTGAGGCGAGCTCTACTACTTTACTATTATGTATTTTGTCAGTTGTATTGTGGGGATTCAATTCGCGCCCGTTTTCTGAACTTTTTTTTAGCTTCCCAAACGATTCACTTCACTGATTGTCATGTCGATTGTTATGGAGAAAATGAGTTGTATTTGTATTATGAATCCACTAGCTTATATATCAGACAAAAACTGGGAATGCAGAAAGGTATGTCCAACTGTACGTAAACTCACAAAGCAAATAAAGTTCCAAACATGTTCCACACCTTTTGACTCATAGGGATTACTGACTCTCAGTTGTTATCTATTCATTACAAGTAGCATATATTAATATCGTTCTAAAGGTTATTTACTGTTTTTAACCGCAGCGTCTTTTTAGTAATCATTTCATTAGGTTAAAAGTTAGAATAACTTTTCGAGTACTTCAATTAGGGTAGTAGTTGATTAATATCTAAAGGAGAGGTTATTAATATGTAATTGGCAAACACGTTACGGTAGATTAAAGTTTTTATTACTTTTGAAAACGACTGGTTCAGATAAATGGTAATATATCGAAATATCATATTAGTTTATGAAAAAAACCAACCATGTTTGTTCACTACTGTTAGTTGAGCATTCATGAGCAACATAAGACTTGACATGGTTTTGGATCGTTCTAAGCTACTACACTTGGGATCAGTTTGGCTAAAAGTAAATAACCAAATAAAAAGAAGCCACGGCGGTAATATTAATAATTATGAAAAACTAAGAATTAAAAATATCGTTCAGAAATTACAAGTTAAATCGGGGGATGGAAACCATTGGAATAAATTAAAACTGAACTATAACAGAGAAAAATAACGACTAAATATATCTGAATTACTGAGATTCACTTCCAGAAACATCACTTAGTACCTCCACTTGGTGATTTCGGTTATTTCACAACATTAAGCTGTAATTCGACACTTTATAACGACAAAGTTCAACGGTTAGTGACTCGGTTGATTGATTCTATGTGTACTTCTGGTCTCCCCTATCCCTATTTAATATGCTCCCATGTCAACCAATATTGGATACTAGAGTAAAATTGTATCTGAGGCGGATAATTAATCCAAATTTCGATGACTGAAAACTTCGGTTGGCATCTCATAAGATACGCTTTAACGCCGTCCAAATCCTAAGTACTTGTATGATTTCACCCTTCCCCGACCGTGAATTTTAATTTCTTACAATACATCTGTTAAAACAACTATGACTTCTTTGCTCAAATCACTGGAGTTTATTCAGATGAACTATAATTTCCCCAAAGCAATTTATACTTATCTCAATTCTTCGAATTTCAGTCGGTACTCGTTTGTGTCGTGGTTTTAATGATTTGGCCCTAAAGGAGGATAAAATCGCCGATGTTTCTCACCTTTGTTTTGTTATCCATGGGATCGGTCAAAAAATGGGTACCAACCTTATTCTGAACAATTGCAATGAGTACGTTTGATATAGTTTTTGTTACTTGTCCAACTTTTTAAAAATAACTAACTAATTATTATTTATTACACTGATTTAGTTATCTTGGTCTCCCCATAATATTGTGTTACCCAATACAGTTAAACTCATGATACTTAGCATTATCTTGTTAAAACTTAAGATTAAGAAGGAGCTTACGGTGCACATGAAAGTAAATAACAGTATAATATCAGTATGAGGTTGTGTGATTGCTGAATTCCATTGAATTCGTGAACTGTTGGATACCGACTCAGTAGTCCAGAAGTTAATTTTTCGCTCTGGGGATCGAAGGTCCTGACTTCAGTTACCGCGTGTGGGGTCGTAGATGTGCTCTGCTGAAGAGTCCCATACTAGGACGAAACGGCCATCCACGTTCTCGATGGTGGTCAAACTTAGATCGGTTCATGATTTCAATGAAACAGTATAATGCTTGGTGGTGGCTACTCTCTCCAATCTTCTGATAGTTTAATATTTTGCTATCGACCCTACCCTCCCTCCTACCTTCTCGGTTAAATTCTATTCTCATTCCTTTTGTACAAAGAACCAAATAGAGTTTTATATTCTTCATTAGTTTGATATTACTATGTTAACTGTGTGTAGATCGATGCATGACGTAGACATTCTAATTTTAAGGTAGCAGTTTTGTAGTTTGAGACAGGTATTTTTCTTTCTTGTTTATTTGTTCATATGATGTGATAATTCTCTCTTACGGTTATAACCCAGCTATTCCTATTTCTTAGTATTCTTGGACACCAAATCACTCGACAAGTCCCCAAATCAGAAAACGGTTGTACAGGAAAGAGATTATATTCCAAATAACAAGGTTAGATGGAGGCAAGAAGCACAATAGGGAAAACGTTAGTATATTTATAGTTTTTACATAAGATTTCTAGAGTATTCTCCATGTATCGACTAGCGCTGATTGGATAAGAATTAGCCAATCAGCGTGCACCAACTCAAGCGTGCGTTGAGCATGATTTAATCCAATCTATGTCCCGCTAACATATGATGTCTACACTTTTTCATACTGTTAATATTTTTAAAGTATTCATATCAGTGCTCAAAACACTGATGTCGTTCAAAGGCGAAGTAACTTGTACAAGATACTTCCATAATATAATAGCGTATTACATAGTGGAAAAGTTAGTTTATGCCTACTTTTTTGGCTGCTCTTGTTCTTGTGTACTACGTATACAATTAACCTGTTTACTACATTTTCAAAGAGTTTTTATGTTGGTGATTTTTATTCTTTAAAAGCTATGCAAACTTATCAGAAAGCACTGTATTAATTATGTTTTCTACGTGAATGTCTTTTCGGTCAATGAAATACTTCATTTTTTCTTAATGTTATTCATTATTTAATCATCGACTAGTTACTTCTTCTTTGTACTTATCTTTCTATTAAATGTATAATTCTATCTGAACGACTTATCAATGAAAGGTTATTATTTAACTACTACAACTATGAATAATATTTGCATTATTGACAAGGTTTTGCATGTTCCCTTTATCATCAAGGTATCTGTTTAAGTGGGTATCTAATGTCCTTTACAATCTACTTGTTAGTTGGAGTATTTATTCAAAACTCCATTTTACTATCAAGATTGAGATTAAATAGTTGTTAATAAATTCCTTGAATGGATTGAATGTTAATAGTTTAAGTTGTTGTTACGTAAAACTTTCAAATCTGATTTCACTTGGTTTCATATTGGGCGATTTCGTATTTATTATATTTTTAAAACTTTAACTTGGCTGTGTGCAGTCTTGTTTACGTGTTTGCAGTCACAAGTTGTGTGGTGTTTGACTATTTTCTATCCAGATTCATTGATCTAGAGGAGATGTCTGAATTACAAACTTTGATTTATATAAATAAATGTATTTTCTACATTTGGTTATAACATTTATTTTATTTAACTTACTGTCACTCTTTTATTGTAAAGGCTTCGTGATACTTGTGACAAAATAAAAACTCGTTACTTTTCACATTTGGATAAAGAAAATAAACGTGTGGAATTTTTACCTGTTGAATGGCGAACTGTTTTACAGTTAGACGGTAATACAGTTGAATCAATCACTCCTGTTCATCTTCGAGGACTTCGTACAGTTCTGAATTGTTCTGCTATGGATATTATGTATTATACTAGTCCTTTGTATCGAGCTGAAATTATTTGCAGTTTAAAAAGTGAACTCAATAGATTATATGATATGTTTCGTCGGTTGAATCCTGATTTTGAATCTCGAGGTGGAAAAGTTTCAATAATTGCTCATTCTCTTGGATGTGTCCTAGTTTACGATCTAATTACTGGCTGGAATCAAGTCCATGATAATGATCCATTAACTGAAATCTTATTAAATAAATCAACTGATAAAAATATATTTTTCCATTCAGCTTCCACAAAATTGTCAAATATTACGGATAAGGTGAGCTATACTTAACATCGTTATGTCATTTTCACTCCATTAATAATGTGCTGAATCTCATGTTGTGTAAATCATAGGACGTTGTTATTATAGGTCTGTAGTTGCAAATACATTTGAGTTCCAACTTTTTTAAAATATTGCCTTCGAAAACTGAAGTATTTGTTCGTAAGTATCATTGAAGGATAGCTCGAGCTTGTTAGGATAACCAAATGAGCAATGTTGAAGTCAGACTCAGCGTAGTGATACTCAAAGATGGCGAATCGATTGATCATATTGTGAATCATCATTTACTGAAATGGCTAGGACACTTATTACTTATCCGGAACCACTTCCATGGCAGTGAAACATGGCCGGTAAGATTAGAGGATATCCGTAGGTTACTAGTATTTGATCATAGGCATCTTCGAAATATTGCTCGTATATCCTGGGACCATCGAGTAAGCAACGCAGTTGTTAGGAAACGGGTACTAGGTAAGGATAGCAAATCAATTGATGAAGTGGTGAAACTTCATCAGTTGAGATGGCTGGGACACGTGTTACGTATGCCCAACCACCGACTGCCTCGACGTGCGATGCTCAGTGGTATAGGAGTAGGCTGGAAGAAAGCTAGGGGCGGCCAGACAAAAACATGGCACAAGTCCATGAAGTCACTGTCAAGTGGACTGAGTCATGTTGGTAGGTGTAGACTACCTGGTTGGGGACCGCGAGATGATAGCAACCGATGGTTAGAGACCCTGAATGATATGGCTCAGAATCGTTTGTAATGGCGCAGGTGCATACACTCTTTGTGTTCTCCCAAATTTTAATCTCCTGAATCCTCCTTGTCTCTTTTTCCTCTTCCCAAATTTATTTCACTGTATTATACTATTTAAATAACATCTCCAAATCCTAATCTTCTCGATTACTGCTTATACTCGTATAACCTCTACCACTACGTGATTTGAATCGACAACTGCATCTCTGTGCTAATGTGGTGTGGCAACTCGAACTGATGTACGTACGTACGAAGTTCTACGTTGTTACTGACTGACTGACTGGAACCACTTCCATCCTTGGCATGTTCGATGGTGATGGCGAAGATTGGAAGGTAGCTAGTGGTGGCCAATCCAAAACGTGACATCAGTCCATAGAGTCATTTATTACTGGTCTGATCCATGTTATTGTATTCAGACTAGCTGTCTGGTGTTCGTAAAATAACCTCGATTAATGGTTGTAGACAGGTAACAGCGCCGAATTAGTTGCAGTGGCACAGATGCATCCATCCCTTATTTATCTCTAAATCTTAAGCTCCAGTACTCGTCCATATAAATCTTTTCTTTCTGCTTTTTCAAACCATACTCCTAATTCAGACCAAAAAGACCAGTCTGCTCTGTATCACATTATTGTTGGATATAACTTATGAAAGTAGAACACATGCTCAGTTTGCTAGTATTTGGTTACAAGTATCCTGCGGGAACGAATGGCGTATGAACCAATCGTTGGTCACCGGCTACCATGGGACTGCATCTCCTTACGATGCTCCACTGCCTTGTGGGTTAGACCTTTAGGTCAAAGGCTCGGGGAGTGGCCCCCTAAGATAACCACCTGCTTCGGTTTGGGCACCCGGGCAGTATCACAGCCCACACACAAATGATGAACTCTATGTCCATGGAAATTACCTTTGTCGCTTTGAAAAACAATCAATTGATTCAAATTATGATCACTACAATTATTGTCATTATTAATACTATTATTATTACTACTATTATTGTCATTATTGTTATTATTTATTATTATTATTATTTTCCACATTATTCACCTTCTTTTATACTTATACAGCGGCTCGTCTTGGTGGAATTCCGACTGTATCTAAACGTTCTCGAGTCACTGTCCGGTTGTAAATTGTATGTTACCACCGAATACGAGGACTGAAGCAGATTTTCTGAAACCACGTGCATCATTCAAACTGGCTGCCTTCAACGTTCGCACATTTATGCAGGTCGGACAACAGATAGGGCTGGCTATGTCTTGGAAAGTCTTAATATTGACGTGTGTTGTCTATCCGAGACCCGTATTCAAGACTCTGGCGAAGTACTACAAATTCGATCTCCATCTGTCGCTTCGAAAAGCCTGTTTTACGTGCGCTTATCCGGGGACCCTGTGGCATCTTCGTCTGGTCTTGCTGGCGTTAGTGTCGCACTAAGCGCTAGAGCTGAGGTAGCACTAGTCGATTGGATCCCCATTAACAGTCGGTTATGTGCTGTTAGATTAGAAAGTTCCATCAAAGTGAGAAGAAATCGGCGTGAGAAACGATGTCTTTTCGTCATCTCCGCCTATGCCCCGACAGATTGCAGCCCGGATGCAATCAAGGATGAGTTTTACCACCAGTTATCAGTTCTTCTCCAGAAAGTGCGTTCGACAGATATTGTAGTACTAGCCGGAGACTTGAATGCTCAGGTCGGGCGTCTAGGCACAGAAGAGAGTCGTTTAGGTGGCCGATGGGGACTCGTTGGTCGCAGGTCAGATAACGGGGACCGTCTACTGCAACTGTGCACAGACCACAACCTGTTTCTGGCTAGCACTAACTTTCGGCACAGTCATCGCCGATGTGCCACCTGGCGTCCTCCCTCTGCATCTCAAGCCTGGACTCAGATTGATCACATCGCGATCAGCTACCGCTGGCGTGGTTGTGTACAAGACTGCCGCTCCTTTTGGAGTACCTATCTGGACTCTGACCATGCCTTGGTCTGCGCCAATCTTGCCTTACTTTCAGTGGACAACGAAGTGAACGCCATCAACGGATTGATGTTAGCAAGCTGGTTGCAACTTCTGTTGCAAGTAAGTATCGAACCGAGCTAGCCTCTAGGCTAGCTACCACTCCACCGAAAAGTATAGATGAGCATTGGTTGCAATTGCATGACGCCATGAAAATGGCGGGAACAGTCAGTTGTGGGTTTGCGAAACGTCCCGCTTTTAAGCACTGGGTTTCTTCTGGTTCCTTACAACTCATTGAAGCCCGTCGGTCTACTCCGGGTGACCGTGAGTTTGACCATAAACGAAGGATTTTACGTAAGGAAATCGGGCAAAGCTTGCGTAAGGACCGAGAAGCCTGGTGGTCGATGCGTGCTAATGAGCTGGAAGCAGCAGCTGCATCTGGTAACTACCGGAAGCTCTTCCAACTCATCCGAGCCACTGGCAGCAAGAAGTCTGGTGTGAGCGAAACAATCTGCGAGGATGATGGGATGCCAATCACGAACATCCATCGACGTCTTGGACGGTGGGCAGAATTTTTCGAAGGGCAGTTCAACTGGCCTGCTGCTCCGGTAACATCGGTCAGACTGTCCTGCCCTCCATGGCCGGTGACGACTGATCCACCAAATGAGGAGGAAGTCCGCAAGGAACTCCAACTCTTGAAGCGTTACAAATCACCTGGCCCAGATGACTTACCTCCGGCTCTTTTTAAAGATGGTGGTGACTTTCTGACTAAGGAATTGACGACGTTGTTTACAAAGGTTTGGGAACTAGAGAGTGTACCAACGTCATGGAATGAGTCGATAGTTGTCCCTATCTTTAAAAAGGGTTCACGTCGTTCCTGTAACAACTATCGGGGGATAAGTTTACTTCCGATTGCGTCCAAGCTATTGGCTTCCGTCATTCTTCGTAGGTTGTTCAAAACCCGAGAAAGATTGACTCGCGAGGAGCAGGCTGGGTTTCGTTCTGGTCGAGGATGTATTGATCATATCTTCACCCTCCGCCAAATGTTAGAACACCGCCATACTATTCAAAGGCCAACAATCGTAGTGTTTCTTGACATCAGGGCTGCCTTCGATTCGTTGGACAGGACTGTTCTCTGAGATTGTCTATTGAAGAAGGGTGTGTCTGAGAAGTTTATTAACATCCTAAAAGCCCTATATAAAAACACCTCAGGCAGAGTGAGTTCATACAACCACCTCTCTCCATTGTTCCATTCGAGCAGTGGGGTTAGGCAGGGTTGCCCAATCTCACCATTCCTCTTCAACTTTGCCATCGACGACATCCTGGAAACAGCTCTGATGAATGTAAGTAATGGAGGTGTGGATCTGTTGCCTGGAGAAAGACTTCTCGACCTTGAGTATGCGGACGATAATGCCCAAGGCATACAATACGCACTTAATCAGTTGGCAATCAATGTCCGTAGGTATGGAATGTGCTTTGCACCTTCTAAGTGCAAAGTACGTCTACAAGACTGGCAGGATTCTAATCCTGTACTCACCCTGGATGGTGAGCAGATAGAAGTAGTCGAGAAGTTCGTGTATCCGGGTAGCAACATAAGTGCTGGTGGGGGTGTGAGTGATGAGATCAATGCACGAATAGTGAAAGCCAGAGCGGCTTATGCCAATCTGGGCAACCTTTGGCGCCTTCGTGATGTTAGTCTGGCTGTAAAAGGTCGGATCTACAACGTGTCGGTGAGAGCAGTTTCGCTCTATGCTTGTGAAACCTGGCCTCTCCGAGTTGAGGACGTTGGACGACTCTCTGTGTGTTTGATCATCGCCGTCTCCGAAGGATTGCTGACATTCAGTGGCAACACCATGTCATTAATTCAGAGGTTCGGCATCGTGTGTTCGGGCACAGAGATGATAATTCATTCGTTGTCACCATCTTGAAACACTGACTTCGGTGGCTTGGACATGTTCTCCGAATGTCGTCCCTGAGAATTCCACGTCGTGCATTATTTGCCGACTCTGTGACTGGTTGGAAGAAGCGGAGAGGTGGTCAGTGTATGACATGGTGTCGTGGTATGAAAGAAAGCTGCAAAGGACTGGCTTGTGTCAGTCGTTCACGACTCCCTGGTTGGGGTCCGAGAGATGGTGCAACACAGTGGCTAGAGACGTTATCAGATATGGCTCAGAATAGAAGCCAGTGGCGATCCTGCTGTAACCTTCTTTTACTTTCTTCATAAAAAGTGGTTGTGTCTCCTTTACCTGAAAGATTTCTTCTGATTGTACCTTTTCGTAAGCATTACTCACCTATAATAAAACCACGGAGTGGGAAGTGTTGAGGCTTAGGAATGTGGTTTTGGTAGGAAAGATATATGTATTAATAAGTCCAGGCTCTATACGGAGTTGTTGCAGCTTAGACTAATGGATGTTCTCTTTAGGTCCTACATTAATTATGACTAACACTATACCGTATTTTTTTGCCGTCTTAGTAACAAGATACATTCAAGTTATTTATCTATTGTAACTCCTAAACTTGCATGACTAAATAAAACAGAGCTTTTCAACCACTAAAAAACAAATGAAACTCGATTATACTTAAATAATTTGTTTTGTTTTTTGTACTTATTCTCAGACTTTACCAAACAATAACTTGAATGTGCTATATCCTGATCACAGACTGTCGTCTAATGGAAACTTGGAACAAATTGCTCGTGTTAATATTCGGTTGGAAACTGCAAGGACATTGTGAGTGCTTGTCTTAGATTTTTGGTTTGATGTATTTAACGAATTAGCTTTCCTCAGTTAACTGAGAAATGCGAATTTCAGTGTTTAATAAATATCGTACAAAAAACCCTTGATTTTTTTGCAAAAAATTATAGTGCAGTCACAGTCCTGGCATCTCAATTATTTACTGTGATGAATTTCATGTTTTCAAATATTGTACACAAATTATAGATTTCAAAACAGATTTTCCATTCACTACGGAAATCAATTCTGATCTTATGAAATATTTAATTCTGGCAAATTTATGGGAATTTCCTTTCTTATGAGCATGGTTTTTAAATTGAACTAGGAATCCACATGTATAAAAAGTTTCCAATTAAATTAATAGTGAATACTTCAACTAAAAAATATGACTTTGGATCAGAGATTTCTTTTCTCTTTTAGTTTTTAGCTTCATGAAGGTTTAACCAACTGTTGAATTTTCTAATTCATTTTTCAATTGTTTACTGATTGTCAGTTGTAGATGATAGCATTTCTATAATAGTTATGTTTAATCTAATTCATTTAAAGTTTGAAGAGTTATAGCCAACATATTACTTTGATAATTACATAATTTTATTGTATCAACTCAAAGTGTTGTCAAAAATGTTACTAGTGATGCTTTTATTTTATGGTGAATCCAAGTTGCAGTCCGTAAAGATACATAATTAGCAAAACCCTACTCCTATGTGTTGTGTTGGTTAGCATTGAAGTTAATGAGCAACGGTTAGTGACGATATAGTTGATACACCGGACACTACGTCCCTCGATAATTAGATCGGTAGGACTAGACTGAGTAATAAACAAATTACTTAATCATGTGATACAGTTATACAATTATCCAACCAGTAATCGATAGCCAGATGTAGGTCAGAATAAGACTTTAATAATACAATATGAAGCAATCGACACTTGGAAAAATCAAAATCAGTTTTATCTATAAGATGGTCTCCTATATTTAGTTTAGCTGCTCATTAGCCGAACATGGCTTACTAGGATCAACACATCGATTATTGTTTCTATTTATTTCCATTTCATCTTATTGGTCTATTATTAAATTGATGTAAATTATGGTAACTTAGACCGATGGATAACTTGCCGCAGTTCCTTACAGTTGTTATAACTGAATGAACAAGTTATTTCAAAACTTTTTAATATATGTTCTCGGAGTTTAGCCTCTGTTTATTTATTTTATTTATTTAAACACATAAACATTGGTACACGGAGACACCAGATACATATGAGCCACATAAATCATTCTTTTCGTGTGACGGCCCAAACTGGAGCAAGTGGTTTTCTTAGGGGACCACACCCCGAGCCTTTGACCTAACGGTCTAATCCACAGGGCAGTAGAGCAACGTAAGGAGATGCAGTCCCATGGTAGCCGGTGACCAACAATAGGTTCATAAGCCATTTGTTACTTCAGAATCCTGTGGCCCATGTACACCATTGGTTTGAAATCAGGGTTTTCCAACTCCTCTAGGTGGACCCTCCGTATCCACCAACCCGGTTAAAGCGCCGGAAATTCGCTTTTTGTCCTCTCAATTTCGTAAACAACACCCCCGTCACGAGAAGGCAGAGTCGGACTTCCCTGGCAGTAGTTGTGTGCACGTGGCCATGTGAGAGCATTTAGAGAGGGAGAGCTGATTCTCCCCACTCTCCGCCGTACCAGGGCTTTTGGGGGCCTCTCTGTTTGGAAATACGTAATTCTTTACACTTTTATTCTAAAATAGACCCATTAAACTTTTAGAACCTACCATTGGTCATCATCTGTCCAACCGAATTTCCTTTTTTGTATCTAGAGCCTAACTATACTCGATAGTTGGTCAATAATTATTTATTCTTATATAACATTAAATGTTTAGTCTACTATTTTCAGTATAGAGTTGCGTAGACTGTTGCATGTCATGAACCAATTTAAGTTAGAACACCAGTGGAAAACTAGGAGCACTGGATGGCCGTCTTGTCCTAGTATGGGACTCCTCAGCAGTGTGCATCCATTGTCGTCTATAACTTTTAGTTTTGGTGTAAGTTTTGGACATTGGCAATCACTCTGACAAGACCTGTGTATGTCATTAAAATGCTCTTCATCTGTTATGTGCTAAAATGTCGTCAACTTTTTTTTTTAAAAATGTATTATGCAGGGTGAATAATTTAGAACAGGAATTAAGCAGCTTGCTATTTACTCGTGACAATCACATGAATTGTGATTCTCAGAAGTCAAATGTTAGTAATAATCATCAGGACGACCAGTCAGTATATAGTAAACCTTCAGTATGTCACCCAAATTCTTCATTACATCAACAAAATCCTTTATTGTTTGCGGATAATGTAAGTTTCACTATGTTCGCTTTACTATCTACAATGTTTACGATAATATACATATATTACGTTGGTTGTGTCCAAATAGCTACACTCTAATCTCGCTAATAACCACACTACCTTTCGAGGATCCTTAAATTGGATTTCTCCTCTGACTTTCAATTGTTATTCATTGTCTTTCTGTTGATAATGGAATGTGTCTTTTAAGTATGTGCTGATATAGCATCAGATCATCACTTGCTGGTCGCCAAGATGAAGTTGAAACTCAAGAAGCACTGGACAATGGGGCGCACAATACCACAAAAGTTCAATACGGCCTTTCTTCAGGATACTAACAAACTCAAGAAATTCAAGATAGTCCTCAGCAACAAGTTCCAGGCCTTTTATGATCTACTCCATGGAGAAGGAACCACTGTGGAGAGCAACTGGAAGGGGATCAAAGAGGCAATCACTTGTCATGAGGTCCTGGGTCACAAGAAGCACCATCACAAGGAATGGATCACTGTTGATACACTGGATAAGATTCAAGAAAGCAGCAATCAATACCAGTCGAACAAGAGCAGAAAAAGCCAAGGCACAAGCTGAATACACAGAAGTAAACAAACAAGTGAAAAGGAGCATCAGAACCGACAAACGTAAATATGTGGAAGATCTAGCAAAGACGGCGGAAAAGGCTGCAAGAGAAGGAAACATGAGAGAACTGTATGACATAACAAAGAAACTCTCTGGAAATCGCCGCAAACCAGAACGACCAGTGAAAAGCAAGGAAGGCGAGGTAATCACCAACATTGAAGAGCAACAACACAGGTAGGTAGAACACTTCAAAGAACTCTTAAATCGACCAGCCCCACTGAACCCACCCAACATCGAAGCAGCACCCACGGACCTCCCAATCGATGTTGGCCCTCCAACAATTGAAGAGATCAGCATGGAGATCAGACAAATCAAGAGTGGCAAAGCAGCAGGACCAGACAACATTCCAGCAGAGGCACTAAAAGCAGACGTAGCGGCAACTGCAAGGATACTCCACATTCTCTTCAATAAGATTTGGGATGAGGAACAAGCACCAACAAACTGGAAAGAAGGACTCCTGATCAAAATACCGAAGAAAGGTGATCTCAGCAAGTGTGATAACTACAGGGGCAGTTGGACGATCTAGACTTCGCAGATGATCTGGCCCTTCTATCCCAAACGCAACAACAAATGCAGGAGAAGACGAACAGTGTGGCAGCAGCCTCAGCAGCAGTAGGTCTCAATATACACAAAGGGAAAAGCAGGATTCTCCGATACTACACAGAATGCACCAATCCAATCACAATTGACGGAAAAGATTTGGAAGTTGTAAAAACCTTTACATATTTAGGCAGCATCATGGATGAACAGGGTGGATCTGATGCAGATATGAAGGCGCGGATCGGCGAAGCAAGAGCAGCATATTTACAACTGAGGAACATCTGAAACTCAAAGCAACTGTCAACCAACACCAAGGTCAGGATTTTCAATACAAATATCAAGACAGTTCTACTGTATGGGGCAGAAACCTGGAGAACTACGAAGGCCATCATCCAGAAGATACAGGTGTTTATTAACAATTGTCTACGTAAAATACTTCGGATCCGTTGGCCGGACACTATTAGCAACAACCTACTGTGGGAGAGAACAAACCAGATCCCAGCGGAGGAAGAAATCAGGAAGAAGCGCTGGAAGTGGATAGGACACACATTGAGGAAAGCACCCAACTGCGTTACAAGACAAGCCCTCACATGGAATCCTCAAAGCCAAAGAAAAAGAGGAAGACCGAAGAACACATTACGCCGGGAAATGGAAATAGACATGAGAAAAATGAACAAGAATTGGATGGAACTAGAAAAGAAGGCCCGGAACAGAGTGGGTTGGAGAATGCTGGTCGTCGGCCTATGCTCGATTAGGAGTAACAGGCGTAAGTAAGTAAGTAAGTTTTATTTTCTCCGAAATGATGTTTTACCATAATCATGTTTTTAGAATATTATTCAATTTAATGTCCTATCTTTTCCATTGTTTGATCACTCAGTATTATCGATTAGAAGATCCGTTAAATTAACAAAGTTTATCTGTGTTGTAACGAGTTCACCTGTTTATGGTCCCAGTGTTGGTAACTCGATGAGTTATCATGACACTAATTTTCTTCTATTCGTAGTAGTTTTAAACAACATTATTAGATTATATAAAGTTTGAGCTACAAAGTAATTTAAAGCTGATAGGTTGCTAACAACAGTAAGCGGTAGTAATATTAAATCTCTTATTATTTTCTTATATCTGATTATCTCTTTACACTACCTAGTTTTTCATGTAGACTAAACAGTCGAAATCTTTTTGATTCGACAGTCCTACCTTTTAGATCATTAAGATGAAATCCAATGATTTGTATTTTTGTACTCAATCAATTTGTAATATAACAAAAACTTTATCCCAAGTCTTGATTCTGTATAAGCTCCCAAATAAACGATGCTCGTAAGTCTTAAACTAAGACAAAACAGTTGTTTCATACCACATGCGATTATCATTGTTATTTCTCTTTACATGTTCATTTTCCAACCGTGTAGTTTTTCAGCACACATTACTTAATCCTTATGTACACTGTTCTTTAGCTAGAAAACCTTTTCTGCTTGGGCTCACCTTTGGGCGTGTACTTGGTTTTGCGTGGTATCCGCCCTGGTCCTTTTCAAACTCAAGACTCAATACTTCCTCGAAAAATTTGTCCCCGGATTTTTAACATTTACCACCCAGCAGATCCTGTAGTAAGTAATATTTGTTTTTAATATTATGATTCGCGTTTTACATGAAAGTATTCAAGAAGAACTATATATAATTAAAATGTATAGGTTTACTATCTTGTGTTAGAATGAAAGCCAAATATATATTTATATGTACAAGTTATTTTGACAATGTACTCCTAGAAGTAACAAGATTACAACGAATACACCCAAAAAAAGAGAATTTAGTTTACATCATTTAGTTATAAAAATTAAATTTACCATTATAATGAAGATAAAAATGTTTATTAGAAAAGTATTTATATTCCATTCTTAGTTTGTCAATCCATTAAGATTGTTATAATCACCTTAAATAAACGAGATGATGATCACTTGATTCATTTTGGTCTTTTTTTAGCCAAAATTGTTGTCAGACATTAGTGGCTTGTCAATCATATGACAGTTTTTGTTAACGTTATAATAACAGATACATTGTCTGCGTTCTTAAACACATTTGGCGATAAAATATTCGAGTCATGTGCTGTGAGAAAGAGGCAATTTAACTGATTTTTCTAAAAAAAAAATGATAGTAGTACGTAGTACATTGACTTTTGTTAAAGTCCTTTTTATAATTTCTCAAGAACGTTTTCAGAAGCCGGGGAAATTGTAAAAATACTTCGGGCAGTCAGCGTCCTCTAGAAAACGGTGGATTAGGTCAACATTATCTGCCTGAATGATAACCGATTTTCTTACTTATTTGAACATGATTCTGGGAGCTTGTAGAGTCTCAGGGTCGCATACTATGATTACCCCTGCATTTTATAAACAAACCAATCTCGGAAGTAAAGTTCAATCCGTATCTCGCACTTGTTTTTCATTCTTGGAGTTAGAGAGCAGAGGATTTCTGGGGACTTGGAAGTCAGTGTCTAAGCGTCCAAGTATAAAAGATTATCAGTACTCTCCATTCTTTATACTGTCTGAACAAACTGTTCATTTGTCATATGAAGAATCTATATTATACTTCTATCTGTTTTTTTGTTTTGAATAACCTATGTAAATATTGTTATATCTATGCAACTATAGTGTGGTTTATCAGAAGAAAGATTACGGATATCAGCAACAGTATTTCATGGCTTACACTACGAAATATTATCAGTTAGACAACCAGTAAGTACTGGACAGTTGTTTTGTTCTAGTACAGTACTCTTCAGCAGTTCATACTTATGACCATACCAGGTATCAAGTCAAGGACCTTAAGGTTTCGCGGCAGACACTTAACCTTTAGACTACTAAGTCAATAACAGTATTTGCATTTATTTGGTTTGCCTATAAAATATAAATATGTCCACTCCATACACGTATATAAGTATCATTTTTGAAGATGAATTCAGTCAGAATAAAATTGAAGTTATTTTTCAAAAGTAATCCAAACTTCAATCATTTCCAATTTATATGTATTTGTATCTAATTATCTAACAATATGCTTCCTCGTTTAAGAGACATGTTAAACGATATAATTAAACTAAAAAGAGCAGATCTGTATCGTCAGTGATTTCTCTGTCTAATAGTTTTATAAAATAGTTTTTACGACTTTATAATCGATCTTTCTTCTTCTCTATTTCATTTCGCACTTATTATAGGCTTATCGTTTAGAACCATTAATTTTAAAATATTATTCCACTATCCAACCAGCTCTGATTCATCGAGTTGATGCTGTTTCAAAACCATGCTATGACACACTTCCTTTGCTTGAATATTCTGGTAAAGAATTCAAACATCCAAAACCACAAAATTGTGTAAGTCAGTAATGATTATTACCAAATACTCACTGATTAATCAATTGGTTGATTGATTGCATAATAATTATACGTCTCTGGAAATTACTATGTGAATCCAATATTCGTTGTTTGTTATTGTTATAACGGAAATCGTTTTGTTCTGGACATTTAATTGCACAGTCACGTAAGTCGGACTGTTCGGTAGAGAGACAGATATTACAACCGAAATAGTTTATTGACATAAAGTACAAAGTAATCATTTAGAGGAATTAGTATAGAATGAATTCTACAATATAATGTTTTATGTTTAATGTAACCTGATATGCTTGTCGTTACTTCTTGGCAAACCGCAGGTTACTTCGACTACAGATATTAGTCACATTTAGTATTCTATAACATCCACGATAAATAGTCTAACCTCCAAAAGCTGCTTAATTTTACAAACATACTATTGTGCTTACGTAATAACTTTGATTTAAATAAATTTTGTTTAAAAAGTATTGCAACTTGTTTACATTACTGATTTTTTTTGTCTTAGCATCAACAAGTAGCGAAAAACCCTTGCTCAGATACAAATCAACTTATAACCACACAAGATGCAGATTCCTCTAGACGTTCATCAATTGCTAGTGAGTTAATAAGGAAAAATAATAACTGGACTATGAATAATTTTGGATTTTATATTTTATTCATTAGTAAACTTGAAATTCTACTTTAGTTTTTGTATATGAGTTTTATCTTCGACTTACGTCGATTAAGCATGTTTGTTAGCTTTCTATTATACCTAGGCATCAAATGCTGACCGTACTGACTTTATGACCTACCTATAACGAGTAGAAAGGCGTTAATATAACTGAAATACATCCTACTTATACAGAACACGAAAGAAAATTTCTAAATGATCTCCACTGACAGATTTTCAAGCCACAAAATCGCATAAATTCCAGAATCTAATCTAGAAAGTTTTCATGTGCCCATAAATGCTAACACAACACACCCATCAATCATTCCTAGGACGTCATTTGACATAAATGACTACATAGGATCTTTTGCGTCTGGTCCAACACCTCAACAACACTAGAAGTCGACTAACTAAATGGCATACATAATTCTGCCTTTCGTTAGAAAAACATTTATCTTGTTAGCCCACGCATCTACCCTTTATTATCCAACCAAATGGATACAAAATCTTGTCTGCACTTGGTATCAGCTGAAATATACTCTATAACTTCTTTTGTCTAGTCACTGATAATTTCTCTTTGTGCCTGGATATCGTACCTCTATGCTGGAGTTCTTATGCCAAGATGTTTCTCTAAGTCGCTCGGTTTCAATACAAAGAGTTGTTCATAAGTCGATACAAATTTTTAGCAACTGTCCATGTCATAAATTTATTCATTCAACGGCGGCCTGCTTGAATATCTGGGCTACCTGTTTCTGCCATCTGATTATTTCAACAAGTTATCTGTTTTTCATTTGTTTTAATTTATAATTATGTCCATTAATCGCATAACCTATTCAGGCGCTTTTTATGAAAAGCCTACGACCTTCCGCTGCACAAGTTACGAAAAAGTACTATAAAAGGCATCGTGGTGGTTGGCAATATGCGTTAAAGAGAATGAACATTAATCATATGTCAATTCCCGAGCTACTAAATTCTAACTGCCGATCACTAATCAACAAAGTGGACTATCTGCAATTCTTACTTAGTCAAAATACGTATCGTAATTGTGGTGTCATCACAGTTCAAGAATCTTGGTTGAATGATTTACAGGATGACTGCCTTGTATCACTACGTGATTTTAAAATTTATCGTCAGGATTGATCGAACAATAAAAAGAGGTGTGGTGGCGGTGTAGCTACGTTTGTAAACATAAACTGGTGTTGATCTTCGTTTGTGTGTTTTAAGTTTTCAAATGACTTTGTCGACTGTCTAACTCTAAGATGTCGTCCAAAACATCTGAATAAATACAAATATGTTTATGTGACCAATATCTACGTGACTCCAGATTGCACATCATCTGCACTATCTGTTTTTGCTGATGAATTCACTGAGTTCGCTGTTACTGCCTTCAGTGATTCACTTTCAGTTGTATGTGGTGATTTCAATTCATGTGACTGTAGCTTCCTTACGTCACTAGGTCACCAAAATGTAGTAGATTTTCCTACCCGTCTGGATGCTCATCTAGACTTCGTCTTCATTAATGATGTGGGTATATATGCGACTCGTAAACGTGCTCCATTGTCTAGCTCTGATCACTATAATTCGTGTTCTACCTAAAGTATATGGAAAGCATGGGAAGAGTACACTCCTACGTCAAACCAGAAAAGTCAAATATAGCAATTACACAGAAGAAAATATCCGAAATCTGAAAAACATGTTTCATACGACTAACTGGGAATTATTTACAGATGACTCACTGGAAAACACTACTGATGTTATCACTTGTTACCTTAAATTCTGTTTTGATATTTGTTGTCCCACGGAAACCATTTTTGTAGGTTTTGATCGACTTACATTTTCACAACTAAAACGACTACGAAGGATGAAAGAAAGCATGTACAAGGAGAAGAACTCTAATGAAGTTCGTAAACTAAATGGTCTGATAAACCTAGAGATTAGACGTCTCAACTGTATGTTTACTCAAAAGCTCTTATCTTGCAAAAACTCTCCAAGTATGTGGAAATTCTTTAAAGAACTTACAGGTGACAGAAAGTTTAGAATCGATAACCAGCTGAATGTTTGTGACTTAAATAAGTCTTTTGTACGTCAGTCATCTGATGTGATGCTCCCTCTATCCACGGGTTTAAAAACTAGCTGTGTTCCTACTTTCACTGAAACTGATGTACGAGGATGTCTCCAGTCGCTTAATTCATCTCGATGTTTGGGACCTGATGGTATCCCAAACATCCTTTTTAAAAAATGTGCTGACGTTCTGTGTCATCCGTTCACAACTATATTTAACAGATCCTTCTCATCTAATCTCATACCGAAAATGTGGAGAAAGATGAAGATAATTCCTGTACCCAAGAAAGCATTTGGTGATAAGAATGTAAAATTTAGACCTATTGCAATAACTTCACCCTTCCTCAAAACCATGGAAAAATTATTAATTCTTCCACTTCGGCCTGCGATAAAAGAGCATACTGACCCATACCAGTTTGCATACAGGAGCAAAAGAAGCACTTTAGATGCTGTTGCAGTTCTGCATCACAACATAGTGTTCAACTTAAAAAAGGGTAAGAAGTATGTTCGATGTACTTTTCTGGACTATACTTCAGCTTTTGACTCTATACCAAGACAACGTTTACTTAACAAGTTAATCAGCGTCAACACTGACAGCTGGATAACCAACTGGCTATGTTCCTACCTCTCTGGAAGGGAACAATACACTGTGTTTGGAGGAAAGAGTTCAGAGTCTCTACTGTCTCATGAAGGTGTACCACAAGGAGCTGTTCTTTCACCTCTTCTATTCTCTTTTTTTCTGCATGACCTGCCAGCTTCCACAGAAAACACTTTTGTGAAGTATGCGGATGACCTCACTGTATGTATGCCTATATCTTCCTCTTTACATCCCATAGAAATGAATGAGTTTTTGTCTCGTATTGATTGTTGGTCTGTTGGTAATGGTCTCATACTTAATCCGTCTAAATGTCAAGCTGTTAACTTTAGCATGAGACATAAACGGAATCTAAACACCATTTTGAGATCCTATAATGCTTGTACCATCGGAGACTCTTTGATAAACTCAGTGTCGAAGGTCAATTATCTTGGTGTCACCTTTTCCTCTGATCTGTCTTGGTCTTCCCACGTTTTATCGTTATCGAAGAAGGTTTTCTGTCTGACCTATTACATAAAGAAATTGCATGCTCTTGGAATCACTCGTCATTTACTCTTACAATTTGTCAATTCTTGCATACTACCTATTATTCTTTACTGTTCTCCATTATTCTTTCCCGGGCTTTTGAGAAAAGACTTTGCTGTATTGCTAAGAGTGCTGAAGGCAGTTAGCAAGGTGTGTGGTGAATCTTTCGAGGTCATAATTAATATGGTTGTGGATAGACATTTAAAATCATGCAAACTCCTGGCAGGTGTCATTTTATCAGATAATAGCCATCCCCTTCACTCTTATCTTTCTCCTTGTATATCTTCTGGTAGAACGAGACGTAATTACATTAAAATCCATGCACGCAAGGAAAAATACAAATGTTCTATAATACCTTATCTAGCAAATATACTCTGTGACGAACAGGTTGTTAGAGTTAATCTAGTCAATAACCTGCATTCTTAACATGACTTTAATTTTAAATGTTGTACTGTTTTTCAGATTTTTTTTTTAAACTTTTTTTTGTCTTTGTTACTATTTTTGTTTGCATAAGTAACTTGTTGAAATACCCTGTGCTGAGAATTCTATAATGTACCAAAATATAATATTGAATAAAGCCATTAATAATAATAATAATAATTTAAGTGTTTTTTAGCCACCCTTAAAAACAACCAATGTGTTCAATTCAAATAGAATTATCTTCAGCAACAATAGAGGAAACGAAGTGTTGATTATTTTGACAAACAATAAGCTGTTTGCGTCCAGTAGACCCACAACTTCAATCATTTACATTATTCTGTCCTAATTTTCGCCTAATACGAGAACTTTAAGGTGTCTTATGGTAACAATATACACTACTAGTTTAATCTCTGCATATTCCGAGTTCGTAAATATAATGCACATAGCTTTTACGTATTTCATTCCAAAGATTTACATTCTATGTGATTCTAAAATTAAACCTTAAACAAGTGGATTGTGGCTAGTAGTCGAATCCCAGATGCACGTTTCGTTTTATTTGGGACTCGTCAGCTGGGAAAACCTGCATCTCACTATTGATTTTCACATGGAGACTCGAACAACAGTACATTTCTCTTAAGGCGTCAATTTGTCATCAACTTAGCTACTGAGTCCAGATAACCACTCACTTGTATAACTGGTATAATATTTATATCATTTTTATAAAAAATTGAGTTATCCCGCTGTTGATATTCTAGATCAGTCTTGGTTATGATATGTCCATCTTGTTTGAATTGCCTCGATATTGCCGTTTTCCACACATGGTTTTATAGAACAGATGAACTGTGGCTAGTAATGGAATTCAAGTCGCACATTTGGTCCTATTTGCAACTTATATACTTGTGAAAATGGCTATATTGAGGTAATCCACTAAGAATGAACATGTGCTAACCAAAACCGATTAAAATCGAACCAAAAATATCAACAGTGGAATAACTCAAACCTTTTTAATGGTAAGTTATAGACTTTATTCCTTTTTTTTTTGTTGTTTTAAATATGAATATATAGAGCCTTCAAATTATCAATTTTCACTCTTAATTTACCTTTCTTTACGTATATTAAAATAGGTCGATTATTTGGTTTCTTCTCACGAGCACCATATTTACCTGGTGGAAGTCAAGAAACAGGAGGAATCGATCTTACTCTTTCCGAAAAATTATCTAACCATGACAATGATGAGAAAATTAATTCTATAGAGAAATGTTCTGAATTTTGTAATTCTACAAGTAAAAAAGATCAAAAAACAACAAATTCACTTACTTCATCATTATCATCTAATGATTTATTTGAAAATGATTTATGTTGTTATGAACCGTTACAACTTGAATGTCGATTAGATTTTGAATTACAAATATCACGTTATGAAAATATGTACCTTTCTCTATTGACTTCACATACTAGCTATTGGACTAATCCAGATATTTGTATGTTTATCATGACATATTTATTTCCATTAAAACCCGGTTCAACAGATTAAAATAATCATAATACCATTTGTGTTTATCTCCAAAAATATTGGTTTATTCTTTTTTTTTTCTTTTTCTTTTTTAAAAAGAATTTTCTTATTTGCTTTTTGTTGGTAAATATTTCTACCGTAAGATGTTGTTATGCTTTATTTTATTTAGATGTTCAACTTTGTCATACTACTATCTTCTTGTTAAATAGATTATAAGATTATCAACCACTTACTTACATCATTTAATAAGTTAAAACATTATTATTTTATATTTCCATTATCATCAATCCATTTATTTAATAAATAAAATTTATCAGAAACTAAGTAAGAAAAACGACTGAATTCTTTCCATACAGCATTACACATTCTGTATATTTGTGTATTCCATTTATGGATGGATGATTAGTCTAGATCACTAATTCTATCCTTAAGTCTTTCAACAATTATGTACTTTAAATGTTTGTTATTATTGTTAATGTTATTGTATTCACCATCTCTATAGAGTTCTGATAATCACTACAAGAAAGTATCATATATTGTAAATTAATTTTTCCTAACATACTATATGTATTCATTCATTTATCAGACGTTTATTTTCTCTTTCTCTCTCTCTTTTCATTATCACTTTTTTTCCATCAATATTTCAATAATTTTACTTGATATAATTGAAGCTTTTCAATATTTTTATCATTATTCCAAATAATACTCATTTATTATTGTATATAAATGTAGAATGCAGTGGAAATGTTAGGTTGAGATCATGTCTTTTGTTGTTAAACAGTCGTTGTGGTTTAATTTTAATGTATATAATTTCGTTATAATAGTACAACCAGATATTTGAGTGAGGAAACCAAACACAAATAGAAAGCTTTTAGTGACTAGCCCGAATGGAAATTATACATGCGCCTATTCATTGATATGGAAATTTGAGTCAAACTTTTAGTCGATAGCGTATATCTATCAACATCGAATAATTCAACTAAATCTTAACCAATGGTATGCACACATTAAAAGCTCTCATCATTTGATCATGAACTGATATGTCTGACCGACTCAACCTATCACATTTCCTCTTTGAAAAATATGTCTGGCTTTATAGATCCGACTACATGAATAAAAGTGGGGGCACATCAAACCTTAACTTTTTCGATGTTCATTGGGTGTATCACAACCAGCACTTTCAGCTATTTTTCCATTCATTTTAGTATGCGAGCGACAGTTATTAGCATGTAATTTTCATTTTGTGTTTCTCATCTGGGATTTTTACCCGGAATATACCGACATATTGATATTAGGATAGTTGCAGATAACTTCAAATTTCCTCAACTGTTACCAACATTAATCACACATTACTAAAGTTGGAATTCCAATTTTCCTCTGGATTACCGTAACGAGTTATATAATCAGTTCAAGACAATATACTTTCATGTCATTGACGGAACTTATTTGAACATTTCAAGGTCTTTGATTCAACATGCAATCTTTGATAGTTATTTTATTGAAGAATGAAATTTATCTTCTAAAATAACTTTAAATATACCGCTATGTAACTACCACTTTTGATCACTTGATTCGTCGATACAAGGATTACAATTATTTTAGAATTTTCTTACAACATTGAGATGATTTTTTTGGAATTGAAATAGTTCTGGTATCCTTACACCAAGTATGTATAACAGCTCATACAAACTCATTCTGTGTTTTATCTCCGAGTTATTGTTGTTAAAAGTTCATTTCAGTGTTCCGATATCCAATACACAGTAGTTTGTAAAATCTAATTAGCGCTTTTTCCTGATTTCTTCCTCCGCTGGAATCTGGTTTGTTCTCTCCCACAGTAGGCTGTTGCTGATAGTGTTTGGCCAACGGATCCGAAGTATTTTGCGCAAACGACTGTTGATAAACACTTGTATTTTCTGGATGATAGCTTCCGTAGTTCTCCAAGTTTCTGCACCATACAGTAGAACTGTCTTGACATTTGTTCTGAAAATTCTGACCTTGGTGTTGGTTGACAGTTGTTTTGAGTTCCAGATGTTCTTCACTTGTAGATATGCTGCTCTTGCTTTGCCGGTCCGCGCTTCCATATCTGCATCAGATCCACCCTGTTCATCAATGATGCTGCCTAAATATGTAAAGGTTTTTACATCTTCCAAATCTTCTCCGTCAATTGTGATTGGATTGGTGCATTCTGTGTAGTATCGGAGAATCTTGCTTTTTCCTTTGTGTATGTTGAGACCTACTGCTGCTACAATAGTCGTCTTCTGCATTTGTTGTTGCGTGTGCGAAGTTTAGATCGTCCAGCTTCATCCTAGATGTCCACTGTATCCTATACTACGATGCAGCTTAATGATATAGTAAATATATCTGTACATCATTTCTTATGAAGATTTCGTATAATATATTTTTCATAATATTTAAGAATCTATCTTGAAAAGCATACATCACTCTTTTCTTTCGGCAGTAAAATTTGGTCATATTCTCAGCTTGTTTCTTAATCACAGGCATACATTGTGAGAGAAAAAAATCGTATTATAATAATTAGGATCATTATCACTATTGTTATTAGTATTATTATTATTCGTTGAAAATAATTTTAAACGATGATATTTGTATGATCTTAATCACGATAAAACTTTCACGAATCTCTCTTTCCATCTTCAAATGTTTGTAATTTGCATTCCAATTCGTAGTGTTTCTTTATTGTAGGGAAGTAAAATGTTCTTTCGTTTATTTTTCCCCTAAAACTTACGGTCATATTAAATGTAATTACATTTAAACTAGAAATTCTCTCTATTTTTTAAATTTTCGCTCTTTTTAAAAAAAACGACTTTCTCCTCGATGTTCACCGTTTTTTTAGTTGTTCATGCAGATGGTGTATACTCAAGGGTTCATTGCCCAGTTTTGCATAATTTCTGAAATATAAAAAGTACGGTGACCAAAAAAACCTAACTATTCTTATCTATCACAATTGATTGGTCACTGGGTGGTGATCAATGACATGTGTGTCAAGTCCTTATTAGTGCAGATCGAATGCTATCGACCATGCTGCAACGTGGCCACCAGTCTAGGTGACTCAACACTGCGTGCACTATGTTAAGATGAGATGGTGGTTGGAGGCAGTCGACAGGAAACCCTAGACCCGGGTTTCGTGCTACTTGGCACACGTCAGCAAGGTGTGCCTGTAATCTTGAGGGAACTGGTGCTCCCTGACGGATCCAATCCCGTGTCACTCAGCTTCACGAGTGCCAAGTAGCACGAAACCCGGGTTCAGGGTTTCCTGTCGACTACCTCCAACCACCATCTGTTCTTATCTATGTTTATTTTCCACAAAGTTAATGTGGAATACATTTGAAAAAAAAATGGAGAAACAATATTATCGATTTATAATTGGATTGCCAATAAGTGGTGCCATGTTATTATGTTTTCTATTAAACTGACGTACTGATGTTCATTTACCGTATGAAGTATTACATAGTTTAAATGCAAGTTCTTATGCTTCATGGTACATAGAACACATTAATTTCTTAATTTACGAGATATATTTTCTATCAAATAAACCAAAATTTTACTATTTCAGTTGTTATTTACAATGAGTTCAACTAATTTAAAAGTGAATTTCAGGCTAACTTAATTATGTCCACAAATGCCATGGTACGGCCGAGGGTGAAGAGAGTCAGCTCCTCCTCTTGAAATACTTTGGAAAGTAAAAAATGTGTTGTATTGAAATTTAGGTCAAATAATATTCTTAACGTGTCAGTGTATATGTACGTTGAACTGATCAGTCGTACCAACTTATCTTTGTCATACAAAGATATAACAGGGTGACTACAGTATATTATATGAAAATTCGCTAAACCCTATCTTTGGAAATGATCTTTAGACAGTTTCACAAGGAATATCTCCCTTAAATGAAATAAATCCTTTACTGTGTGAAACACAACACCAAAACATTTCTTTCATTAATTTCACGCTATTAAGCAGTACATTACCATCTACTAATTATACTGACGAATTGTATATGTACCTACAAAAAATGTATACACTTTTACGTAAACAATATACAGGTAGTTTTTAGTTTCTATTGTTCGATGGGAATCCTGAGCGGAATGCTTTCATTTTGCTGTATGCAAGATGAAGTCACCAGTGACTCTGATTGTATTTGGCGTCAAATGTCTCGGCAACCTCAGGATGGGCTCGAGCCACCAACCTCTCCGTTTAGGGAGAAAGGATATGAAATAGTTGATATGAAGTGGTAAATTTACACTAATAAAAAAGTGATCAGTAGAATTAACAATGTGAAAATAAACACCATATAATATAAAGAAAAAAACCCATTGCATCTTTGAGTAAAATACAGTCCAATGAATAAAAATTGTGTCCCAGTGATATCATTTTCTGAAATTGTACGATAGTGTTTACAGTTATCCTGGTCTCATCACTTATTTAAACTTGTCAACTATTTTTCATATCTCTTCCATATGTCATTTTTAATTTTGTCTCATTATTGCACTTCAACCATTACGTGACTTGTTTCAGACAATAGAAAATATTTTGATGAATTTTTAGTAACCTTATGAATGATTACTATAATTTGCTATTTAGATCATATACTATTATATGCGAAATAACTATTAATAAACTTGTACAACTCTACAAAATAACATTGTCAAAAAGAAAGATTTTTTCCTTGAACTGTCTTTATTTTACTAAATAATAGCCTCCAAATGCCCTGGCACTGCCCCTAAATGCCTTGGTACGGCCGAGAGTGGGGAAAGTCAGCTTTCCCTCTCGAAATACTCTCACACGGCCACGTGCATACAACCACTGTCAGAGAAGTCCTACTCACTGCCTTCTCGTGGCGAATATCCGAATCTTTAATCGGGTTGGTGATTGAGGAGAATCCATTTAGGGGAATTGGAAAACCCTGATTCTAAACCAATGGTGTATGAACCTATAGTTGGTCACCGGCTATCATGGGACTGCATCTCCTGACGTTGCTTCACTGCCTTGTGGATTAGACCTTTAGGTCAAAGGCTCCGAGTGTGGCTCCCCAAAATAAACTACCTGCTTCAGTTTGGCCACACAGGCAGTATCCCAGCCCTCACACAAATGGCATGATTTATGTGGCGCATATCTATTTGGTGCCTCCTTGTACCAATGTTTATGTGTTTAAATTAATTAATTAATCAACTAATTAATAACTGAAATATTTGCCTTATTTTCTTTGAAATTATTCAAATAATAGAAAACAATCGGTAACTCATTAAATAAGTATTATTATTCTAAAAAAACAAAAAAGGAGTGTCATAGATAACACTTTGTATCATCAAGCTACGTAACGAATCTTCGAAATTTTTTCATTGTCTATACAGAGGACTGGATTTATAGAGATTTATATGAAAGTTTTCTTGGTACAATTTCACTCCAAATGTATGACATTCATACTAACTCTACGTATCTTCTTAGATTAAATCTGTTACTTATTCAGTATTATGATGTTAATCATTGACACAAATCAACAAAACCTAAAAAATATACAGTTGGTAAGAGTTCGGTAAAATGCTTAGGTTATATAGGATTAGTTCGCTACACATTAATTATCACATGAGTTCCTTGATCGATTTATTCAATATTGCCTAAAACCACATGAAACTAATAATTTGACTCGCAAATGTGATTTACTTATGAATGCAACATTTTATTGCATAAAACGATTTTATTTGTTGACAGTTCATTCTTTATTCTGCTTTATTCCGTTTTCAGTGGAGCGTTGGATCAATAATCCGGAGATTTTTTTGATAAACTTCATCATACAATGTATATATTTGAATCATGGAAATCATGTACTTAAAGGTAATAGATACTAGGATACTTACTTACTTACGCCTGTTACTTCCAATGGACCATAGACCGCTGACCAGCATTCTCCAATCCACTCTGTCCTGGGCCTTCCTTTCCAGTTCTATTCAATTTTCGTCCATTTTACTCATGTCTGTCTCCATTTCTCTGCGTAACGTGTTCTTTGGTCTTCCTCTCTTCCTTTGGCCTTGAGGATTCGACGTGAGGGCTTGCCTTGTGACGCAGTTGGGTGCTTTCCTCAATGTGTGTCGTATCTACTTCCAGCGCCTCTTCCTGATTTCTTCCTCCGCTGGGATCGATACTAAGATAGGGGATACCCTTATACTATTTATCTTACAATTAAATAGAAACTCTATCATTAAATACATTAATATTGTTTGTTAAATAGCATACTTCCATATGGTAAACTAATCAATATAACAAGTAAAAACGAATGCAAAATTATTTGAGAAATCTATTACATTGCAGAATAATAAATAAAAACTTTCGTCTAAATTTGGACGAATAGTTTCAGAGTATTTGAGCGCCGAGTTGATGTGAGACATTAAAGAGGAAGAATGTATTTGTCAAATCTCAACGAAAGAATTTGAAGTAAATCCAATATTTTGCTTGGCGATCCGATCCTAGCTTTTTTAAGGAAATATTTTTTTGAGGAGAATCTATCTAGAGTAGTTGAAAAACTCTTATTCCAAACCAATCGTACACATAGGCCACAGGATCTTGTAAGATATATATTGGAAATATATATTTCCTTGAAAAAGCTTGAATTAGATTACCAGGCAAAACGTTGGATTTACTTCAAATTACTAGTATGGGGGTTGTGGAGATTATTAGGTTTTTGATCGAGATCATGAACCGATTGATGTTAGACCACCTTTGGAAACCTGGAAGCACTGGACGGCCGTTTCGTTCTATTATGGGACTCCTCGACAGTGCGCATCCACGATGCCGCCCGTGGGATTCGAACCCAGGGCCTTCGGTCTCGCGCGCGGACGCTTAACCTACTGGACCACTGAGCTGGCATCCAATGGTGATAGTGTCTAACATCAACCAATCCAAGAAATTGCGCCACCATCTTCCATTGTACTGAAGTAGATACCTGTCTCTACCCGACATGGATTAGCTCCACTGGTCACGACTTCTCGCTAGAACTCTGAGGATTCCCTCACGAAGCTAGTCACTAGTGAGCACATGATAATTACTAGTATAGGAGTTGTGGAGATTATTAAGTTTTTGATTTTACAAATACAATCGATTACATTGTTCACTTCCATATATAAATTCTATAGATTATATAACTCAACTATGAATATTTGATTATAAAATTCTATTTTGAAAAGAATTAAAATATTTAAATTTCTTATTTTGTTATGTCATTTAGTAGAAATAACAATGTTTTGCTTGTTATATGTATATATAAACATGAATTTATGTGGATTAAGCACAAGTGTTTGCACATAAAACATATATATATATATATATATATATATATATATATATATATATATATATATATATATATATATATATATATATATATATTATATACCTCATTTGCATTGTAGATATTCACCATACATGATTATTGATAACCAATCACAAAAATTTATCCTGAACATCTTTCACTGATATGATTTAATAAATTGACGAAAATATTGTCATTATCATAATCATCATCATCATCATTCATCACAGAACTGATTGATGACATTATCACCATGGAATCATTAAGTTACTAGGATACATACATTATCATAAGGGAAAAAAAGATTTGTTTTAGATAATAATACTATTTCTGAGAGTTTGTGGATAATTGATATATTATATCTTCATTTTATCATTATTGATAAACATGGAATTCATGAATAACTCATGTTTACTCTTGCTGATCTTGTTCACTTTTCTGTTCTATACTAAAAGTAAGTATTTTTTTTTAAAATTCGATTTTATATGAAGTTTGATTTTGATATTCGATCATTTTGACACATATAGTGTGAATGTATATTTAGATAGTTTTCATGTTTAATTGTGATTGAGACAATACAGGATTATTACGGCAAAACATTTGGTGAACAATGTTGTTATTTTAGATGACATGTACTTTCTTATGTGATGATTGTTGAAGATTGTTACCATTACCCATGATTTCTTTCATGATATCTTTTGTTTTGGCCTTTCATCTCTGTTTATTTTTCTTGAAAGTTTGGAAATTACTGATCCTTTTGAACAAGGAATGTTTGAATACTTAGACTCTAGTTCTTTTTCTGCAAACACTCTTGTTGATAGATTTGTCATCTTACTAGCTTAACAGATAGCTTGAGGTTAATCAACTTTATCTAATTTCATATTTGTATAAACACGACACTACTACTAATTTCGTTGATAATTCCCAATATATCTTACATTTCAATACCAGAAATTTATTATCATTTTCTATTGACTAGTTATTCAGTTCATGCAAACTTAAGATATATTCTATAAAATTTATCATAACCAAGTGTATTTTTATGATCAAGGAGAAAAAATATACATCACTTTACTGGCAGCAATCAGTATCTAGATGCTACATTTTTTTAAAAAAAACATCATTATTGGAGTTATGCCGAAATTTGACTGAATAAAGATAAGTTCATCAAGAGTTAGAGTTTTATGAATTTCAATATAAAATTGAAATAATTTCACCTACATGTATTTTGAATTTTGGAGATTGAATTTAAAATTAAACAAGTTTTTATTACTGTAATACAAATTTGAAGCTGGATGCAAACGGTTTCAATGTCATCTTAGTTATCACACATCAGTAAGAGGTATTAGAAACGTTGAATAAACTGATATTTTCACTGGTGTTCAAAACCATATCACAAAGTTTCATAAAACACACTAGCATAGATCGGTTTCCAAATCCACTTTCAGGAGTTACAAAAGTTGATAAAAGAAATAATTAAATATTCTGTACGTCGATCTGTTGATTAACCCATAGAGTGATATTAATTGAATAGTTGGTGCATATTTCTATCATATACCGTGAAATGTTGAAGAGACTTTGTATTCTAACCAGAATTTGAAAGAAAATAATAATTTGCATAATTTACTATGTACATTTTTTACACTATTAATATTAGTAGATCCTTTCATTTCATCCATAGTGGATATTAAATTCAAATAGTATAATCTTCAATAACCCTCTTTATTAATAAAACCTAAGTTTTGTTATGAGATGGTGCAGAAGATTTGTAGCTCAAGTGGATGATTTTGATGGAGCTCAGAGAACAAAACTCCAACAAAACTAAGTTTCGTTACTTTTTTGGGAGTTTTTTTAATTGAGATCCTTTTTCAGCTCTTTACAAAATTAGTATATATATTATTCTTTGATTTGTAGTAAATATCTTACCTCATTTGATAAGGATTTCAAAATTACAGATTGAAATCATGAGTCAATTGAAGCTAGACCACCATGGAAAACCTGGAAGCACTGGACGGCCGTTTCGTCCTAGTATGGGACTCCTCAACAGTGCGCATCTACGATCCTGCACCCCGCGAGATTCAAACCCAGGTTTTCCATGGTGGTCTAGCTTCAGTTGAATCATGATTTCAATCTGTGAAATTTTTAAAATCTCCACAAACCCCTTCTGATGATTTCAAAATTAGTTAAATTATCGGTAATGAATAATGATTAAAAATATGAATATTTCTATAGTAACCAAGTTCTATTCTCTGTTATAATTCTATCGAATATGTTGATACAATTACCTAAACATGTTCTTTCTTGTCAGTAGATACATATTTTTCCAAAGGTTTCTTACTTGTTACATTTGAATTTTTTGTTTGATTGTCTTGATTTCTAAGTATTGTAAGATTTTTATTCACATTCTTGAAACTAAGCCATATACTTCCTTATATTATTAAAGGGTTAGACTATTCCGGACAAGCATAAATTATCATTGATAATGTATGATCCGACAGAAATGTTATTCTCCAGTGGCATGGTGAATTTTAACACAATGAAACGCACAAAAAATATGTTAGGGTATGTGTGTAGATTTGTACATGCTTCAGAAATGTTAATACACTTAGATGACATTGAAATTTCAATCCGAAAACATTATGAACTGGAATTTTGACAGGATTGTCTAAAGTGTTTCGATGCATTTTTTTCAACAATAATAGATAGAAGTAAGATGGAACCTTTGAACGCATCAGAAGTGAAATGAAAATCTAACGAACTGTTGATTCATCTTGTTAGTTCTTGGTTTGAATTCCTTTATGACTGATAAACTGTGGATAATGCCAAAAGGTTTAACAATAATCCTTGTCTTACAGTACTGATTACCAAATCAATTTAAGAAAATTACTTTTTCTTTCATCATGAACTGACATCAACAAAAGACTTAAAGTAAATTAAGGAATACTAAACATTTGTTTCAAATTAAGTACAGTTAAAAACAACTATAAGCTTATTAATGATAAATTTCAGGAAAGATTACTTAGATTCCAATGGTGTCAGCTATGACTGGTTTTCAGTGAATCTACACCTAATGTGAGAACGTGTTATAAAATCTTTTTCAATGTTAACTAGTCTTAACAAATCCTCTATCTTAGTAATTGATAGAAACGTTTCATAACATAGCCTCACACTAGTATATTTGATTATTCTCCTTTTTCTTTTCCACCATTTTGTCCTTACTCCTCCTCTTCATCCTTTTCCTCTCCTTCTTCTTTCCTCACTCCGCCCTCATTATTATTATTATTATTATTATTATTATTATTATTATTATTGTCCTCTCCTTTCTTTTCTTGTTCCTTTTCATTTTCTCCCTTTTCGATATTCACGTATGAGGACAAGTATGCATGACTGTACAGTGGATATAACTATATATTTCTGTTAATCTAGCTAGTAGAATTGTTATTAGATGGAATACAGAAAATTTGTCAACCATAATAATATATTAATCTAAAATGTTACTTTACGAGAGGACATTGGACGAAATAGAACCACTTACAAATGATATAACCATAGAGATCAAGAAAAGGTTATACTATAAAAGGTTTAAGCCTAGAAGAAATTGTGTATTAACCTTCTCTATCCACCTGACATATGCATCACTAAACTGATGTAGCAAAGAATTTAGACAACCCGATAATCATAAATTTCTTCCAGCACATCGAGTGACTGAATAACTTTAGAAAAGTAGAAGAGTTATGCGCAACTAAGACAACACCAGATTAGACAGTCAGAGGTAAATTACCCTGAAACCTTAAGGTGATATGTACAATGAAAAACCCTGAACAGATAACGAGTGTATTGACCCTGAGTAATCCTATGACGATTAACTTAGCGCTTCTTGGGTTTTTGCATGAAATTGAAGAGAATTGAAATATTTTTATCATAATTTGGATTAAGTAAAAAGTACCAATATTTGATTTTCAGAATTTGTATTATTAATAAAAATATTTTTATGTAACCATAGATAGCTTAAGCTAAATTGCAAGAAATACCTTTTCCTGGCTAGATTGTATATGATCGCACGGTAAAGGGTGCATGAATAGTTAGGAAGAGTTGTCCAAGTCCTACTCCAGATCTCATTGCTAATTTCTATCAGTTTATTTATAAAAAAATGGTAAAGCATCGCCAGCACCAAACTACAACGTTTTTCATACACATAGTTCCCTTTATCATTTTGAAAAGAGCAAGAACAAAGATTCTAGCAGAATAGCATGAATTCATTTTATTTCGTAGGTCCTCGTCAGCTGCTTACAACCTGTGATATTTAAAAATCAGAGAGAACCTACGAAATAAAATGAATTCATGCTATTCTGCTAGAATCTTTGTTCTTGCTCTTTTCAAAATACAACGTTTTTTGTTTGCTAAAATAAATAATTTAACATATAAATACTTATTAATCATATCAAAGCTATTTATCCACTGTAATCTTGTTATCTTTTTATTGTCAAATGTTTTCACTAGTAAGCACTATTATTTTTATTGGTCAGTAAGTTACCCAAGGTTTTAAAAATACTATTCATTTACTCCTTCACATCTGGTCGACAGTATGTTTGCGTTGACCTATGGATGAACTTTTCCCTTTCGGGATGTCTTCGAAAACTGATAAAATACTTCTTTATTGTAATATTAATTCAAAAGTCTTTCAAATAATTCAAGTTAAGAGTTAGTCGATTAAAGTAATTTCGAAACGCAGAACACTATATATGCTGTTGAATTTGATTTGTTAAGACTTTAAAATGACTAAAATTTAAGGTCACTGAATAACTCACAAGCCTTCTCTAAGATACATTATGATGGGTTGCAAATAATGTTTCCCAGTTTGTTTAGTCTAGTCAATTATCGATTTACAACCAACAACAAAAATGCATTACATTAACTGAGATCATGAACCGATCGATGTTAGACCACCATTAAAAACCTAGAAGCACTGGATGTCTGTTTCATCCTAGTATGAGATCGTCAGAAGTGTACAACCACGACGCCGTACGCGAGATTCCAACACATGTTTTTCGGTCTCGCGATTGAATGCTCAACCACCCTAGCAACGACCATGCATTCAACCATCCAGCTGAGGAAATACAACTCTGATAGGAAGTATATTCAAAATATATAACTTCTCCACAAAATGAAATTCATTTAGGTGGAATTCACTTAGATCGTACAGCTTACCTCAACAAATATACACGAATGTTCTTAACAGACCCATATTATATTTAATCACTTCATGTATGTTTCACAAATGTGTCAAATAATGGTTGGTATAAACGAAAATTCATAATCCCCATGAGGACCTAAACAACTATATAATTTTTACTGATGAACTCACGAAATGATTTTAGCTAACCCACCTCCAGAAACCTGGAATTACTGGAAGGCTTGACTCAATGTTTTCTATATATATATATATAACATACG